CAGCGGCGGCACTACCAGGGTGTGGTGGGTTTCAGGCTGGTCACCTGACTCCTGTTTAAAAGCCGCAAAGCCCAATGACCTTGTCGTGACATAAGTCGATGTATCTGACCTTTTATAGCTAAAGTCATTGACCCCCTCACTTCAGAGACGAGGGCTTACTTCCTGCTGCCTTGCAGTTCGCACTTCGGTGTGCAAAGGCTATGGGTGCGCCCTCAAAATAAAAAAACGCCGAGTGACGCTGGGAACGTCTCTCGTACCAACCCCCCGAAGAACTTCATGATCATGATAATGTCTGGAGCCGGCTTATCTTTTCGAAGAAGCCATCCGCAGTAAAGTAATTAACAAGCAGGTGGTGCAGTGTCTTAGTCGCTTTCACCAGCGTGCTTTGAACTTTATCGTCCCAGGTTCTAACCCCGTCGCTACCCATATTTCGTGACAGGTAGCTTTGCTGTCGTCCGGTTCCATATGACGCCTAACCTAACGGGGCCTTCTATGTTTCGCCGCTCCGGGATTGGTTCAAACGGCATGTCTACCGCAGTAAACCAGTGATCACCAATCAGCCCCGGTTTACTGAGGCTGAGATTGATTACACAATCATTCCTCCGAGCGAGCGCACGAGCTGATTGATATATACCAGGGACATGTAAGGTTCATAAAATCGAAAAGTTCTTCATTTTGAAACCGTTCTGTTAGGGCTACCAAGTACGCAATGCACAGTATATGTTCCGGTTTAGCTTGAGATATGGTTACGAACAACTACGTGTGTGATTGGCAGGGCAGCTCGATTAGGTGTGGATGACGTTGTAATTCTTAAAACTCTGGAATGCAGGAGAATGAGAGAACAAACACAGGCAACAATTCTACTGTTCACGATGTACATTCACATCCTCTCAGTTTTTGTTATACTAACTTAACCAATCATGTAAAAATATCCCAAGCTTAGGTCTGTGTTTGTTGCTTTCGCAACTCCGCATTGTGTCACGATTTATCCACATGTGCTAATTTTTTTGACCACTACCGGCTTTATTTAGCATAGTGCCCGGAAGGGATCTACTCGAATAATACTGCGTACTTTACTCCTTCATCCAAATAAGCACCTAAATCCACCGCACGATAGGGCATGGTTAGTGATTGTTTAAACTAAAACAAACGTGGAACACCCTACACTTGAAAGTGTTGTCGATTTCCCACTGGACTCACACAATCGTACCGAAACAACAGTGCCGAAAAGCCACTGTTTTGAGTTGTTTGTTTCTATCAGTCCTGTTATTGTTGCTGCAGGAAAAAAGGAAGCATATTCCTCCGCTTCTTTGATGTAACAAGTTTCAGGTGTTTTCAATCGAGTCATGACTCTGGAGGTTAGTGTTGATATGAATGTGGTCTGGTGTCCGTAACTAGTTTGCTTTATCGTGCATAGAAAAAATTAAAAATGATGTGGTTCCGATGCGTCGGGTGAATTCGCACTTCTGATGAAACCTAATCTGGTGAAAACAGTGCTTCCTAGCTTTCATTTCGTCGCATCAGTCCTCCAGTAGTCCCGCGATACGGACAAATGTCAAGTGGATTGCTTTTGATGTCATCAACGCATTTGCTTGAAAGAAAACTAGGTAGTGGTATATATATAAATACATCAACTCCGAATCACGGCGTAACTAGGCTTACTCCTCACTCACCGTGGGTGTGACATCAAGGGCTTATGAGAGCTTTGCAATTTGCCCGATCGCCCAGCTGTTCTTGGTGTAACTCTAATTAATGCTCATGGTCTTCATTCTTTTTAGGTATCTATGAGGCGTACGTCGGTCATAAGAATTTCAGTATGGGTCGGCAACCGGCACCATTGGATGGCACAAATACGGTACGTTTTTCTTCATCCAAATGCATTTTGTTTTTATTAAGGTGGCTAATATTACTGTAAATTTTACTTCGGTAATAAAACATGTCCTGTTATGCTCCTCCCTCATCGGAACATGCGAATAAAGTTTTCATTGTCTCGTTAGCCGCAACACACCTTGCCGATTTTCCAGGAGTGGCGGCAGTTGGTTCCAGAATTTTCGAGGGATCACAACTGTTTTGCATGAAGTTACTCAGAGCGTACCGGCTGAAAACCCGCCACGAACCGTCGTCTGTGGATCAAATATTCTCAATATTCCATGTGTTCCATGTGTGTGCCCGCCAGTTGAACGGATGTTATTCCCATGGATATACTTACAGTCTGACGGGGGGGGGGGGGGTT